TGCTGTGGGGCCGCACCCAGAGAGTGGTGGTGGACGAGTCATATTCGACCTGGAGGGATCTGGACAGTGGAGTCCCCCAGGGCTCGGTCCTCGGGTGCTCACTGTTCAATTTCTTTATTAGCGACTTGGATGAGGGGGTGAAAAGCACCCTGTTCAAATTTGCTGACGACACCAAGATTTGGGGCAAGATGGGCATGCTAGAAGGGAGGGACAGGATACAGCTGGACCTGGACAGGTTACAGGGGTGGGTAAATGAGAATAGGATGGGATTCAATACTGACAAGTGCAAGGTGCTGCACTTGGGCAGTAAGAACCAGCACCATACCTACAGGCTGGGGAACTCTCTTCTTATCAGCACAGAGGCAGAAAAGGATCTTGGAGTCATTATTGATTCCAAAATGAACATGGGCCGCCAATGTGAGGATGCGGTCAGTAAGGTCAACCGCACCTTGTCATGCATTCACAGATGCATCACAAGCAGAGCCAAGGAGGTGATCCTCCCTCTCTGCGTGACACTGGCCAGGCCACAGTTGGAGTACTGCATCCAGTTCTGGGTGCCGCACTTTAGGAGGGATGTGGCCAGCACTGAGAGGGTCCAGAGGAGGGCCACTCGCATGATCCGGGGACAGCAGGGGAGACCCTACAAGGAGAGGCTATGGGACCTGAACCTGTTCAGCCTCCACAACAGAAGTCTGAGAGGCGACCTGGGGGCTGTCTATAAACTTACCAAGGGGGACCAGCAGAGAATGGGAGAGACCCTGTTCCCCCGAGCACCTCGCAGAGTAACAAGGAATAAAGGCCATAAGCTGATTGAGAGTAGGTTCAGACTGGACATTAGAAGGCACTACTTCATAGTCAGGACGGCTAGGATCTGGAACCAATTTCCAAGAGAAGTGGTGCTGGCTCCTACCTTGGGGGTCTTTAAGAGGAGGCTAGATAATCACCTATCTGGGTTCATATGAGCCCAGTATTCTCTCTTGCCCAGGGCAGGGGGTCGGACTTGAAGATCTACTTAGGTCCCTTCCAACTCTACATCTATGAATCTATGATACAATCGTGGAGGTGGTTGAAGCATTCAGTCCATCTTACTTCTTCTTTGAGAATGCACCCAATTACCTGTACAAGAACCAAATTCACACAGTACATTTCATGCCAGAGCAAGTGCTCTAACCTTACTGACAAGTGTCCTTGCCAATGAACTCAGCAATCTGAAGGAACCTGCAAATATATCAGACACAGTGCCTGTTGGATGGCATGGCCAGCCTTTGAAACCAGGGCACTCAGGGTGATATGGTCTGTAGTACAGACAATCTCAGATCCCCAGGATGGTTTGCGGTAGAGTGACTGACAACAGTCCTTCACTATTATGGTAGTTTCAGTTATTTTCAGTGCATTAAAACTTTGTAAACATATACTCAAATGCTGTGTATGCACAATGCACCCCAAATGTGAGACTGAGAATTTCTTACTTGCTACCTTGCCAAGCTGTTTTGTATTCTGTCAGCAAGAAATCCTTATTGATTTTTAGCCAAATACATAGTAACATTCTACCACAAGGTTTTAGTCCATAGAAATCAATGGTTTAACACAAACACAGTATTAACTAACTTATAAAATAACTTGCTTTATGCAAGAATCTTTTCTTCCCATTGACCTTTTGGTCCATATTTCAAATCATCATAAAGACTGCTGAACATAGATAGAAAGTGATCCCATTTATTTTCCATGAAGATTCAAACAGTGAAATAAACATATTAAAATTCAGCCTTTCTCCCTGTATTCTTGTACAGATCTATTCAATTTCTTGTCATATATGAAAGAAACTTTAATAGGCAGATAATCCCAGAGCAATTCCAAATACAGATTTTTTTGAGATTTTCTTGCAAGTAATTAATATGAAGTGGAAAAAGGATCATTTTAAATATATAATTATTTTAGATAGGTAAAACATACCTGAAGAATAGACTTAGTAAGAAATCTGTAGCTCTTATAAATGATACATGTTTAATATGCCTGTGCTATTCTTGTATTACAGATGTGGGGGCTGTACTGGCCTCCTCTGGTGGCTAATTTATCCCCTCAGAACTGTTGTTGGTTTACTGGAGTCTGTATGAGACCTGGCAAATGGAGAACTACCCTTCCGCAATAAGGACTGTGAGAACTGCTGTAAAATACTAGTATTACTCCCTGTTTCTCTCCCTGTGTAATACGGACAAATACACAGCCATGCTTAATGGTGTTAAGCAACAACAAGAAAGAATGTGGCCACAAGTATTTCTCAAGTGAAAAAAATTGGAAAGCTGAAAAAAATTTCAGCTATGTAGAAATATGTTAGACATTCTTCAGCTGTTTAATCAGGAAAATTGAAAATAACGTGTTAAAATTAATCTGACCCTGCTCAGTGTTAACAAACCTCAAGGGAATATGCTATGTGTGCATGCATTCAGACTGAAGCATGCTTGAAGCAAGTATCCTCTGTTCACTCTGTATTTTTGCCCAAAAGCCTATGAAATCTTCTTGAAATCAATGCAAGTTTTACACATGACAAGTATCAAATCTGCATATGTACTTTTTTGTGGGTTTACAATCGTATTTTTGGCTATTTTTGTATTTATGGGTTGTACAGGTTATATCTTTGTAATGCGATAGATATAAGCTGCACTTTCACTGTTTAATGACTTGCCATAATGCAATTTTTCCTGATTGTACAAATCACTTAGAACAGGAGTTCCCAGACTGTGGTAAGTGTACCCCTGGGGGTATGCAAAGTATCTCAAGGGTATGTGGGAGAAATTTTGTAATGGCAGATTTAATTTTCATTATAATAATGGCTGGCATTTAAGGGGTTAAAATATCAAATGTGTGCTGGTAGGGGTACATGGGCAGCTGGTAAATCTGGAAGGAGCTATGCAATAAGAAAAACGTTTGGGAACTTCTTATTTAGAAGTAACAAGTGCCCTGTATTCACAACCAAAGCAACAACAGGAGAGGGAGTACTTTTTCGTTCTGAGTTTATATAGTCCCTAGTACAGTGGGACCCTGGTCCCTGACTAGGCCCTACTCCCATAAAAACAACTGCAACAAGCACAACTGGGAAACATGCATATTAAAACAGGAGAGCATACAGTATGTATGTGAAATCATCAGAACTTTCAAACAGAAATGATACCTTGTCTTGCTACTATTAAGCTGGCCATGCAGTCTGGTACACTTGTTCCTGCTGCTAGGAAAGTAATGCCCATGATAACATCAGGAATCCCCAGAGTGTATCCAATCACAGTAACCTGTGCAGTAAGGAAAAACAGAGCCATGTGTACTAATTGGGAAGTCTCTCTCAGACTAATCCTGAAATTCCAATACAGCTGTTTTTCCCTTTTCACTTTCATTTCCAGAGGCTGGCATGACAAAGATCAAACACCACACACACATGCGCATAATGAACCACAACTGTAGCAATAACTTGACTAAAAATGGTGTGCACACACCTGTGTAATGAAACAAAACTGTAGCAACAACCTGACTAAAAATGGCTGGTATGAGGTCTATAACATTTTAGACAGACAAGGTTATTTTGGTGAATCTGATATCTTTTATTAAACCAACTTAAATAGTTGGAAAAATGTTTCTTAACAAGCTTTTGGGTTTAAAAACCCTTCTTCAGGCTGAGGAAGCATCTGCAGTTGGTGTGCGCTCTTCCTGGATTCATCCACCCAAGAAGAGCACACACCAACTGAGAATGCTGAGAATGGGGAAGAGATAATGCTTCCTTTCCCCAGCAAGGCAGAGACTAGGGAAGAAGCAGGATTGCTGTAAGTCTCTTGCTGAAGATGCACTTGGAGTAAACAGGATTTGTACAATCTCCAAATGGCCCAATGGGACTTCCAGAGTCCAGAAAGTGGTAGCAGCCTGCAGTGGGGCTCCCAGTAAGGGTGGGAAGGGTCTGAGATGGAGCAGGCTAAAAGACCCTGCCAACAGGTCAAGAGAGGAGGCTTATCAGCCAGACAAGGAAATGCAGGAAGTAGATCCATGTGTGTTTGTGGAATGAAGCAGGAATATTAGGGGTGGGAGCAGCCAGGTGTCTAATTAGGGAGGATGTAGGACTGGAGCTTGTAGTAAGGTCAAGGGGCTCCCCTAAATTGCAGTGCTGCCACTTTGAAGCATTGTGGTGATGTCTTCTATGAGCATAAATAGGTAAGTCCTTTTTGTTTGGACTGTTGTTTTATTAGCCTTGTGTCTATTCCAAAAGGAGTGGAGTGTTTCCCCACCCCAACCCGCACCCCTGCAATGTAGGCAGAGGGTTAAATTAAACTACCCAATTATTGAGAGCAGAGGTCAATAACCTTTTGCTAACAGTGGGCCAAATTAACACAGCTTGGTCCTAAAATGGGCCAGAGGCAGCAGATGTTAGATATTCCTCCACTAGATGGAGCAATCTCATGCAAAACTTACTAACAGCAGATCTATACGTTTCTGGGACAATATCGTTTTTTGGCATGTTTGGTAGACTAGTTAAATCTTGTTTCAGCCTGTGAGCTGTAAGTTGTTGATCCCTGACTGACAGAATGCTTCACTGACTCCGCGGACAGATGATTACGTAAGTGTTAAAAAGCAACAAAAACAACACAAATCCTTAAATTAGATCAAAATATACTGGAGAATTAACCCAGAAAGAATTAGGTGGTCCAACCTGGGGTAGCTATTTTGCTAAAGGCAAACCTACTCCCCCACCACCCATAAGGTGAGGGGTGTGTAGCTGACTGCTGTGTTAACTATCCTGGGATAATGCATATCTACTCATTCTGGATCCCAGTAATTTACACCAGTATGTACCTTACACTAGGATAGACAGATGTCTATCTACATCCTAAAAAGGCAAGTATTAGTGGGGTACTGGGATATGGCTATCTCTTGAAAGCAAGAGGTAAGGAATCCTGCTATAATATCTAAGGACACATTTTTACCTTGGTCTTTGCACTCCTTCTGATTTTAACAGGTCTGAAAATATGGTATAAGAGTAGAAAGTATAATAACCTTACTGGGATGGACAAGCAGCAGGCTGTGGCAACACTGTACCAGAGAGAGAGAATGGCTAACATATGAATCTCATTTACTATGTATTCTAAATCAGGAGAAAGTGTAATACTTTAGAAAATAGCTACATGAAAAAAACAGGATTCTCCACAAGTAGAAGGGTAAAAATAAAGCAATCAAAAATGTATAATATACTTTGGCGATAGCAGAGCTATTGGCATGGGTCCCAGACAAGTATAACTCAGACACACAATTCATACGTTCCAAACAAATTTTGAAGCTCATAAATGAAGATGTTTCAAAAAGGTCATATCAAACTTAGAAAATCCATTTCCAAAGGTACAAATTTAACATTGTGAAAAAAAAATGATTTCTTCCTTTTGTTGATGTGGAAAAATGGGCATGTACATACACTCTCTATGCATCCTGCCATTGCCTTAAAGGTTCTTTTGTATTGTAACCATTAACTTTGGCTCTTTGTTCAGAAAATAAAGATACCTTTTTACATTTCAAAAGAAGGATTTTTTTAATTTACAGTCTCACATCTGCTACTTGAGTACTGGTCTTCTCCAACTAAAATGTACATTTGAATTATAAAAACTGAAAGAAAATGAGAAAGTGAAACACAGGAACTTGGTTTAGATCTTAAAGTAAGAGAGTTTCTGTATTGATCATATCAGGGATCTCTGTTCTCAGAACTAAGCTTTTCACATGTAAAGAGCAAATTAATAGATTTTCTAGGCAATCAGTGAAACATTAATCAAGAGGGATAATACTTTTGACTAACACAGGACGTTTTACTCAAAGCATTTTACAGTGTGTCTGATCCTGCAGTCCTCAGTACCTTCCCAATTTACTGTGACAGTAAATTTCAGGATCATAATTTTAAGTGCTGGGCACTTAAAGAGTGGTGCTGAAGATGATTTCATTTTTCATACAGTCAAGACCCTGAAAGCGTTCTACAGCCATGCCATGACACACATGCATGGCTGCAGAATGCTTTTAGGATGGCTGATCACACAAAGAAATAACCCTCCTCAAATGAGGTATTCGATGAAGGAGCTCTACTTTAGAGCACCTTAGGGAACTTGTGTTCCCTAACGTTAATTTTTCATGCATTGGGCTGGGCTGTCATCAAGGCGGGGGGGAGGAGGGAGGGAGAAGCGCCGAGCTGCCTGCTAGGGTTTGCTGCCTGGCTGGAGCTGGGGGGAGTGGAACAGAGCTCCCCTCCCCCCCAACTACTCTGGCTTGGGTACTGGCAGCAGCTGGGCCAGGTCCACAAGGCAAGGGGGATCCATTCTACTCCCCAAATCACCTGCAGCTCAGGCTGGACAAAGCAAAAAGAGAGATGTGAGCAGCACTGGGCCATGTAAAGCACTATGAGTTACAGCGGGGGTCCGAACGTCTGCCTGTGCCTTCAGTGCCTAACACTCAGCTAATGGCAGGGAATAAGAACATCACTTCTAAAAAACCATGTAAGCAATTACATGCACCTTCAGGGACCCACTACATTTAAAAAGATTGACCTAATTCACTGTGCAAAGAGACTGGCATATGGGATAGAATATTCAAATGGACAGGATGTTAACTTACTACTATGTTGCATACAAATTAGGACTGGTGCTGAAGTTATCAATTTGGGCTGTACATTTCAGTTAATAAAATGTTTTGTTGTGTCCACTTACCATCCATACCATAAAATAGGAAAACAATGCAATCCACAGAGTGGATAAAATAAATGTCAACATGAAAAAGTTCTCCCAGCGTGGCTTGCTGCAGTTTGGAATGGTACAAAAAAGCAGAAATATCAATGGCCATGTCAAAATCCACTTGACCTTGTTCACTTTTCCATCTGCAAGAAAAAAAAAGACAAGGTTGGGGGGGTGTATTTAACTTCCCTGTCATGGTGCCAGGCTCTGTTGCATAGGTACTGAGTAAGACAGGACTGCTGACAGTTGTGCACTTTGGTTTCAGGGTCTAGTGCGCCCTTCTTCAACCTTCACAATTTCTGTTGCCCTGTATCATCAGCCCAGTACTACCCTCGGGTGAGAAGTATAATACAGCAGCTGTGCATGTGCTCCCAACAAAGACTCTGAGCTCTAATGTATTTGCTCTGTCTGGATTCCAAATCCAAAGTCGGTATTTTGCTCTTTGAAGGGCATGCTTCAAATTACTATTAAGCTCTCACCTGAAATAAAAAGCAAATGTTAAGTTTTACTCATAAACCTATTTTAAGGGAACAGAGAAAAATTTATAGTTTTACAAAACTGTATCCATCTGTTTAATAACCAGAAAATATTTTTAGCTGATATAAAACTGACGTAAGTCCCAATCCTAAGCTGTGCTTTGGGGGCAATTAGTGTCAGAGAATTTGCAAATAACTGTTTTTATCTGACTAATATTATATTAATATACTCTTGCTTCACAGACTGATTGTATTCAAGTGAATAGTGCACCAAACTAGGACCCTGCTACTGCCTGCTGGGTGACCTTTGCTGTGCCTCAGTCTCCCCCTCTGTAAAACGAGGATAAGGATAGTGGCCTCTTTTTCAAAGCACTCAGAGATCAACTGATGAAAAATGTTATATAAAAAGGTCAGGCATTACTACTTATACAGGCATGTGAAACACCATCACTTTCAAAAGTACTGCAAAAATGTACTGGTAAATCTCAATTCATGAGGTCTGAAGGAAATCCTAGGATTTTCACACACTAACGATTACTTTCATATTCTTTGTGGAATTTGTGAAGCCTGCTACATGTTTGTTTTCCTAATGTAATTAAGCTAGCAGGGATTTCTTGACACTAGGAGCAATATAAATAATCTGGCAATTATCTGACAATTATGTGCACACAATCCATTAAAATGTGCCATTTTAAAATAGATGGAAAAATCAAACCAAAGAGGGGAAAAATACCTGTTCTTGTTTAAAATAATATTCAAATTAAGTTACTTACCCAAGTTAATAAAAGCAGGTAAGACTCTGGGGAAACTCCCACAGAGTTCAGCAGGGGTTTTGCTTAATTAAATATTTCAGCATTGTGTCTTAATCCAAACCCCTCCAAAGTCAACAGGAGTCTTTCAGTGACTTCAGTGGGTCTGTGATCAACACTTTGACCCATAATGCATCAGATGGAGTGCAATCAAACATTAAACCTTTCTATATTTAATAGAAAATATTTAATTTTTAAGAGCACACACCAGTCTGCCTGAGAACAAGTCTCCATGCAATAATTTTCACGAGGTAACTGGGAGTTATCATGAACTTAGTTACATACATTTGCAAGTGCTGAATCAGGTCTTTAACATGAGATTTTAAAGTGAATGCTAATAAGCAAATATGCCCCTCCAGGAAACACGCTACACTTGGCAGTCTTCTCCCCTTCGTTTGGACTTCTGGAGCTCAGATCTTATAAACTTATTTTGAAAAGCAATATTCTCTTAGAACCTCTCTACCCTAGGACTGTACACATCGTTGGGGAGCTGTTACAGATTTACTGGAGGGACCTTGTACTTTCTGCTGTTTGTATACAGATATTCTGAAAAAAAATTCTACCTCAAATCACCTCTTTTCAGGTAAGGGAATGACACTATTTAGCCTTATAGTGAGATCTGAACTACCTGTTACTAGGGCTGTAAATAGTGCTATGATAATTTAGACCTCCTGTTGTTTAATTTGTTTCAGCTCGGACTGTTACAAGACTCATGCTGGTTCATTTGTGCTCTTTATCTACCCATGTTGCTAAGCTTGGTTCAAAGTCAAATAAGTCAGTCTGTTCTGTGCTTGAAATTTCCTCAGTGCTTAATTCCAAGTGCAGGATCAGCGAGTGACCATCTAACTGAATAACAGGAAAAAAATAAAGATCAGTTCTGATCCTGGCATAACTCCATTAACTTCAGGGGTGTCAATTATAGTTATGCTACAATCATATCAGGCCCATTTGTTTCAGCACTTAGTGCTGGTGCAAGAACACTATATTCCTAGCTATACAATATGGAGTAAGCATGCACTATCGTTCAATGCATCTGTCAGGGAGCATGTACCTTAAAGGGGATCCTGCTTTAAGTCCTGCATTGGCAAAGAACCTAAGCTATGCATATTCATGCTGCCTTTGCACTGGCTTTGCTAAATCTTATCCTCACTCCCAGAAAGACAGAAGCCGTGTTGCCGAACAGGCATTGACTATCTAAGATGACTTGCTTATTAGCATTCACTTTAACGTCTGGATGCCATTTTTGTTCTATCCAGAGAAAGGCACTGGAGAGAAAATAGGCTTTCAGCTCTACAAAATGCATAACCAAATATCCTTCTTCACATAACAGTTCCACTCCCATTATCACATAATGACCAGCAACCTGTTTTCCTGTGACCCTTGGGCTCAATTATTGCAATTCCCTCTTTGCTAGATTATGGTAAACCTGTTCTGCGCCTTACAGCTTGTTCAGATACAGTGGCATGATTGCCTGTGGGTTTGAACAATCACGATCACACTTGAGCTGCTTAATGTTCATTGCATGGTCTGCTGAGATGGGGCAGATTCATTTGTCTTGTAGGGATATTCAGCTCTAAATGGAACCGGCTCTTTACACTGGAAAATCCATTTAGAGCCCTGACCTACCAGGCTCGGGGGTTCGAAGGAGGATGGAGCTAGACTGTTCTCAGTGGTGCCAGCCCTAACATCTACAAAATCTTGCCCTCACATATCAAGTAATGTTTAGGGTTCTGCCACTGAGGCAACTGAGCTTCCGCTCTGATATCTCTGATAGTATGGGTCTCGCTTTCATTTCTCTTCACACTAAGCAATAAAAAATCTCAAAGCATTTTTTCCAGAGGTGTTTTAAAAATTACTTCAGATGTTGCTGTGTTATTGCTTTGTTTTTGGTCCATCCATTTCTCTGTAATTTTTTTGAGGTTGGGGAGTTCCAGTTAATGAGAAATTACTTTATAATTGCTGTTCAGCACCCCAAGCATTTTTGCAGAGAAGGGAGATTGCTTCATAAATATTATTAAGCAGCTGGGGTTTTTTAACAAAAGATGGAAATCTCCATTTCAAGGCACTGGAAAAGCTCTTTCCACAGCAGCCCTGGGACACCAGACTTTCCTCTATCCAATATTATTACTATTATCCCTTACAGCTGAAAAAAGAATTATATTGTTTACTACTCTCCTTACAAACAAGAATGTATGTTGCTTCATTAGAGAATGCATCATTGTAACTCAGATTACAATGGAGTTATTCCTGACTTACAATACTGTAACAGGAGGAAGGTCATTTCTTTTTTTACAAATCCATATATTCTACTCTGTCTATCAGATATTTTGGAATCCAACCATTCCACGTATTCTAAAGAGGTCACTGCATGGGAGGCTGATTACAATGTTTATGTGAACCAGGGGACAATACCACCATAAACAGTCCTATACTCGTTTTCAGTATATTCCTATAATGCCTTCCATCTCAAAGGAGCTTATAACCTTTATACTCATAGAAATCCCTTCTCACTAAAATGCAGGCTTCTTGAGGTGAAAGGCACTGGTGTTGTTGCAACAGTGATGAGAAGGGATATTTTTGATCAGTGACAGTAGGCCAAAGTTCCTCATTCTAAGAAAAGTGTCATCAGATTTGTAATACCCATGCAGAACAGACAGGATCTCAGTCTCATCTGAAAGAGCCCGATGTGGTACATGGCAAGGAACTCAGTTTTGTCTAGCTTAGACAGGGGAAAGGCTGTGACACCACTGACAGAAGTCAATTGCGTTGTTGCATGTAGTTGTGATAAAAGATATCACATCTGCTCAAAGAACCTTGCCTGCCTTGTTGCAGTTCAGGTTTTCAAACTGGATAGCTACTCCACTGAATCCACCCTTCAAAGGAATGCAAAGAAATGTGGTGAGAAACGAGCGCACAGCAATGGAACTTAACATTCAGAATACAGGAATTGCCACGTCGTTTCAAACCAATGGTCCATCTACTCTGGTACTCTGCCCCCTGACAGTGATGTACCAGATGCCTCAGAACAATGTTTCAAAATCCTCAAAAACAACAATATAAAGAAAACCTCTTCCTGACCTCAGGCAGTTACTGGTTTGCTCATGTGCCAGAGGTTGAATCTTGACAACCTGTAAAAAACATTTATCCCGTCTAGTGGTACTGCAGACAGCTTTAGTAAGCCATGTAGATCTCTAATTTAGAGATGGCTAAAACCAGGGCAAATTACAGGAAACTTTCTGCAAATTGCCCCTCACCTATTCTGATTTTTTAAGGTCACTGAAATTTTGCTACGTAAAAAAAAATCCAGTCGTCCCTAACTCTAATCCTATGAATTCTAATAAGTATTTTGCATTATAGGCAGAGGTGGTGCAGTCACCATCCTTGGAGGTGTTCAAGATGAGGCTGGACAAGCACTCTGTTGAGCTTGTCTGAGCCCAAAAACTTCCTGCCCATGGCAGGAGACCAAACTTGATGATCTTGCAAGTCCCTTCCAGTCCTTCAGTTCTATGATTACTGTATCTGTTACCAATGAATTACCAAAATACATGCTGAGAGAGACTTCCACTGATATAAACCAGAAAAATTGATATAACTACACCAGTTCATTTTAGCTAAGGATCTGACCCACTCAATTGTGTTTTGTTTTGAAGTGTTTCATTCTGCCAGTTTTTAAATATGTGGCTTTTAAAATGTTCCTTCACTTTGAAAACAAAGCAAAATCTTTTCCTACAATGAAAAATGATTTAACTACCCTATCTTCCAAGTCCTAGTTAGATTTAGTATTTACAAAGATGAGATTTAGAAGTAATTAAGATCAGGTGTTTGGGAGAATGGATGGTACTTTGAGCATAGGTCTGT